AAGTCCGAACTAATGAAATTCAACTACTCCCCTGGCTAATACCACGAAGGGTGTTGGATTATATCCGACAGGTGTAAGTACAGGATTCTTCACTGAAGTTATTTCTGCATATGCTGTTGGCGATATAACTGCCGGATTGATTTTCAATTATTGGAACACACTTGCAAACCGGTTTCGGGCTGTTTGGCCACTCGTCAGTGCAAGGTAGTGTCAATCATCAACATGTAGTCGATGATTTCCCATAATTGAAAATTGAATTTCTTTGAGAGTATTATTCCTCGAAGTAGGTTGAAGGGAACGACAAACAACATGTTTATCATCACCACATCTGCCCATGAACGAGGTAACCAATCAATTATGGGATATCACCGACTTTATGTTGATGACAGACACTACCTTGCACTGAAGAGTCGCCAAATAGCCCGAAACTGGTCTGCAAGTTTGTTAGAATAATTTAAAATCGATTCCGGCAGTTTTATCGCCAACAGCATATGCAAGAATAACTTCAGTGAAGAATCCTTTACTGACACTTGTCAGATATAATCCAAGGACCTTCGTGGCATAAGCCAGGGGAGTAGTTGTTTTCTGATAGGTGTCGGTCCATTAACCTACAGTGAAGGTAAGTTGAGACTGGCCTGAACGAATTGTTCTTTTAGATAATTTAAATTTCAATACATTTGTATACAAAGAGTAGCTCTTGTTTCCCAGAAACATGTTGATAAAAAAAAATCCAATAGACTTCATTTGTGTGCTTTCTGAAGCTTCAGAATATTATACTGTTATATTTCATTAATTTTGTATCTCATACAAAACACTTAAAAACACATTTTTACATTAGTGGAAGTTGTCTGATTTTGTTCTTCTTAAGGGAAAAACAAATTCTACATATTGGGTATGATTAGATTTTACAACTTGACCATATTTTTATATATGCACATATCAAGAATTCAAATAAATAATAAGTTATGCATTTCAAGTTCATAGTCTCATATCTGATTATAGCAAAAACAAATCATTTCAATATACTTACATATTCAAATACAAAATTGATTTTTTCCAGCTACAGTAGAATAATTTATCAGAAAATATTTATTCAAATATTCATAATGTTAAATTAAGTATTTTCTAGAAATACAGAATTATTAAATGAAATAATCAATTTCATCAGTTCAATTTAGAATCATTCTAGCTATATTAACTTAACAACCTGAGAACATGTGGAAAGAAAAATAACGAGACAGAGTTACACAAAATTCTTTACTGAAGGAAATTATTCATATTTGAATCTTTTGACATTTGCAAAATGATTCGGGTTTATAATTTGACCAACTAATTAATGAGCTCTGGTCAGAAGATTTGTCAGACAATGTGGTGGATATAGTTTCATGCAAATTGAAAGACTCGTCCTCATTTCATTGGCAATGCCCACAATAGATGCCCAGGAGTTTTCAAAATATCTGTTGAAGGGCTTGCATGAAAATGTAAATAAAACGAGAGAAATACCTGACCCAATTCTGATAGAAATAGACACGTGATATGTATAGAATCTGAAAAAAAATATTACAAATGAAAATANTTTTATTTCACTATTATTTCATTTCAGATTTTTTTTGCTTAATATAATTGTTATTTTATTATTGGGATTGTGTTTAACATATGTCAATATGGATTCAGGAAAGTATAGATATGATTAATATCCACAATTGAAGAAGATTTGAAAATAAAAAATACATAGGTTAGCATGAGAGGTTAGTTCTACTCATTAATTCAACATAGGGGTTGAGAACGAGGGATTTATCAATATTCTGGGATGAAGGGTGTTCACTAGTATCATCCGTTCCTCACTAATCTTCACATCATACAAGTTTCGACTTTTGACAGTTGTCATTTGTATGGATACAACAGTTGATAATCTCCGTTTGGGAGATGATAAAACAGCTGAGCACACATGAATCGAGTTTATAGTGTTTGGCAGAATTTTACTCTCGCCGTCTGACCTGAAAGATCATCCCCCAAATAGTGAATGGCTTTGCTAAAAGCTGTGCTTATTTGGTTTAATTTGAATTGGTGTAAGCAACAATAAAATTGTGGCTTGTGGTGGAGGTCCACAGGAATCTGGTAGAACCAGTTCTTTTCCTTACATATATCAACACGATATCATTACCTGCAGTTGCAGTTCCAACAAGAATTTTATTCTATTTGCTGATGATATCTATATATAAACATTGTGATTTATTCAATATGGAGTCAAATACTGTACTATTCCCTGGTTAGAATAATTAGTCTACAACAAAAGAAAAGTTTTTGTGAAACTCAATATATTGACACTGCCTTTTTAAGGCATATACTAGTGCCTAATATTCGTTAACAAACATAGATCTTTTTTGTCATACACCATAATCTACATGATCATGATGCAAGACACAAGGTTCATATTTATATTGATTTCCATTTCCAGAGTTTTGTGAACTATCTTCCTTCAGAAATATTAATGGAAGAGACAGAAGAAAACAAATTCTTGTTAACAAACGTTTGGGCTGGTAGGCCACGGTCAAATG